AGCGATCCCTTTGTCTCACAGAATCCGGCGTACCTGGGTCACAACAAGCCCGGGGGAATCTACGCTGGAATTCGTCACCCAAAGGGCTAATTGGTTTGCAAGAGGGGGGGAAGTACAGTACCGGTATGAGATGGGCGAGAGAGATACCTTGAAGGGTCCAAGGGTTAATATAACGAGCTGCGGATCCAATCTCGTAAAGAAGGTACCAAGAGGATCTCCTGCAAATAATAGAATACAGCTAAGTTTTGCCCCGCATTTTCCCTCCAAGCTCTCGAACCCATAACTCGGTGGTACTGAGATTGTGGGGAAATCGTTCCTTCAATTCGTATTTTTCCCGTCGGTTCTCCGTAACACAGGAAAATGGAGAGGCCATATTTCTCCCAGTGGGGAATACCATATGATCCCTGTTCAATTGGACAAGCATAACCCTCGTAAAGGAGAAAGTGGTTATGTCACGTTGGCTCGAGAAATTGTTTTTTGAGGCTGGGGTCTCGCAAGTTATTCAAACGCCGCAAGATACCGCACGCACTTGATGGTGCTTGCGTGGACGAGCTACCTGTAGTACCGTAGATGGGCTGGCTAGCTAGTGTGGTGGATTGATTTCGGCAAACCTCTTCCTAGTTGGGAGGGAGGCCTGTGTTCTTCGCTCCCATCGCGACCTTTCTCTCAATGGGCCTCCTCTCTGCTTCTACCGGTATCTTCTTTCTTGCCTCTGCAGGGCAGTTGATATGGTATTCATTCATAAAGTAAGGTGCTGCAATGGAGGCCAGGCCCACTTGTAATCCTGGTCAATGTTTCAGAGACGTACAAGTACTCGTACATGTACCGGCACAAGCACTGTACGTTTAGTGGGTACGAACGAGTACATCAGTGGAATGATCGACGCTGCTGTGTCGAGGCTATCGCGACAGACGAGAAATTAGCAATAGGTTTGCTTCGGCAGGAAGCAACAGTCTCGCATCGGGATTAAGAGACATTGTACCCGCCCAAAAAGTCCGATGCCGTACGGCGGCACGATATCTTATACGGTTGTGCCAGCATCCAGTAAGTTAACATGTAAAGTACCGGTACGTTATCATACGAGTATCATCATACTTGTACTCGAGCGGATAATCCTGTCTTCCCTGTCGGCTAAACAATTTTCCGCTTAAAAATCAGACCAGGCCAGACAGAAGGAATAATCTGCCCAGAGTTAACGGGCTTTAACCCGGCTCCCAGATCCCTCAATCCACAGGCTCAATGGCCGGTACTTGTAGAGAGAGGTGTTAAAGAGCTGTAATGAGTATATTAGAGCACGCGGAGAATGAGGTTACAACCGCCAAAAGCCTCGGGGCGAGAAATTTGTCGAGATATCATAATTATATTTTCCTTCACCCTTTAATCAGCGATGGAAACCAGAATCAAAATTATGGGTGACGGCGGGTGACGGCGGGTCCCTGGCCGCTGGCAAGCTCCGGGTCTGCTCGCCGCTGATCCTTGTCCGCTCCCCCACGCAATTGGCCATGAGTCGAGTGCTTTTCCCGAGTAAACACCACCACCACCACCACTCCCGACCATCATATGATAACAGTGATCGAGCACAGTAACTTTGCACGACAGAGCGGACTCAGCGATTTTCGTTCGAGGGCATCCGCTTATCATCGAACGAACGAGGTGGGAAGAAGCAGGAACAATATCCCTCCGGGAAGAAACCAACTCCGTACCGGTTATATTTCCCAGATGGTCGCGGACCGTTGTTTTCATCTAACTTATATTAAAAACAACATTACATATCCGCAGCAAAGAGCCTCAGCTTAATGCTGTAGGTGTGCACACCTGTTCGATATGTGTGGCACCTCTCGAGCACTTCCACCCCAGAGAAAGTGAGGAATCAACTCGAGTCCACGTAAGAAGTAACGGTAGTCTGCAACATTACTCGAGCGCTGTAGGGTGCACTGCAGGCACTTCGACAAAAGGTCATAAATGCAGACAAGATCGCATTCAGCCTAGATAAATTTACCATTTTCCCCCGCTCCCTCTTTCCCTTCCTTTCCACATTCCCCCCACACATCTTCACTTCAAAAGGATGGACTGCATACAAATCGACGGGCACTGATGCCGGTGGTGGAGCTGCGTTTAAAATGTCTACATTCAAATCTTCCCTTCCAACCATCATATCATGACGGCGAGGCGGATAGAAAATTTCCAAGACAAAAAGCAGCCGGGCCCTTCGCCGTAGTCTACGGGATGGCTTCGGACGAAAACTACTGTGCCAGTGCTAGTACAGTGCCGTACAGTAGTCTACCTTCGACCAGAGTGCTTTTACGTCAGAGCTCTTGGCTTCATCCTTTCGCTTGACAACTTGATTTGACCATCCAATTGGGTCGCTTAACTTGCGTCTCGTGTTTTTGTTTTTTCGTCTTGGCAGATCCGCGATAAATCCACTCCTTGATAAGATCTCGGGGAGTCTTTCCTAAAATTAGCCCCAAATCATGAACGACTTTAGTGGGAAAAGCCACAAACAAATCGATATGGGTACAGAACGGTGTTGGGAGCAGCTTCCTACTCCAGTCCCGCCTAGGAACTGGTGCGATTAGCCACGGAGCAAAAGACAAGAGGACATGTGGATATGCTCCCCCCCCCTTTTTTTTGTGACTAGACAATTTCTCACTTGAATACCGTGGCTACTCGAATACGAGTGCCGGTGCAAGAGAAATGTGCTATGATAGATCGTTGAAATTCCCCTTCTGGGATAGGGGTGGAGAAATCGCCGCAAACCGAGCCCTCAGTTGAAACAAAAAAAATAATACACAGCAGCATCTTACAAGGAGAGGTAACTACGGAACAGGGTCCCTGTTTATTTCGATTGTATTCTTGTATTGGAGTATAGTACCGGTATCATACTTACTTGTACTAGTACTTATGGTATCCATTCCACGGACCCTAACGATATAGTTCAACCTTCTGATAGGACTAAACCTCGGGTTCTAGGGGATAGTGCTCATCTGGCTCTTCTGCGGAGCTGCCATCATCCGGCCTAAAAACCATCATCGTTGCAGATGTCGATGTCCGACTCGCTGCCTCCCTACCCCCGGCAATTCAATTCCCACATGATGTACGAGTAGGGTAGGGTAGGGTACCGGTAGGTAGGCAGGCGGAGTTTTTTATTTTCTTCTCCCAAAAACGTTGGTGTCTGAACCTAAGCTTTTTCATTAAAATTTCATTTTTCATTTTTCACTCTACGGTATCATAAAAAAAAAAAAGGAAACATCGTTGCCGCCGCAACCCACATGATAGTGGTACACATCATTTAGTATCTCCCGACCTGAAGACTTGTTACCTGAGTCTGGTTGGTTTAGGCTGGTTTCACGAATCTCGTGATTGCCGGGAAACGGTTAATCACCCTGATCGCTATTGCGGTTATTTCGTATGGAACCTCACTTCCTTCTTTCCTTCCTTACCTCGAGAACATGGAAAATTATATTTTTTTTTTCCGAAGCAGAATAAAACATCAAGCCGCCGCATAGTGCTACTGATGCAGTAGACTAGGGTTGCCATTCTGTTGTCTTTTGCCTTGTGCGCGGCTTGAGCGGGACTAAGCTAACCTGAGTCTTATTATAGAAACTTCCCCTTTCCAAATGACCAACTCTATCCCTCTAGCCACCGGGCCTATCCCAATTTTTACGTATCCCAGATTGGCCGTTTCCCCCTTCCCAGGGCACCGACAGCCCAGTCGAAATCAAAATATCAAGAGCCCGGAAGAGATAAAAAGGGAAAACACTTTCTCATCACGGAATCTCGTGGAGTAAGAATTTATGCGTCTGCTATTGGCTATCCATTGGGTCTCGTCACTGTCACCTTTCGGATATTCTTCCAGCTGGTTCAACACCCGAAAACTGGAGAATGTTAAAGATGCAACGTTCCCGTAGGCCTCTGCGCTAGTACTCGGGCATTTGTCCAGAGGCTAGTAGGGACCATGTGAGAAGGAATATTTGGCGAGCGAGCAAACCCTCGCCATCATGTAGGGCACCAGCTGGCTTCACAGACATCAGACTCCACAAGCTTAATGATACGGTACATAACAACACCCAAACACCCCCCACTTACCACAATACCGTGCAACGCACCGTTGTCCACATTTTCTATAAATACTCAGGGCAAGGGGTTTCGGGACTTCGTTTAATACTAATCCTCCATCCGGCCCGGTACACTCGGACAACATGGGGGGGAAAGGCATTCACATTAGTTACCGCTGGTTTTTGCATTGGCCAGTTTCCTTCGATATCAGCCGAGCACCGTTGTTTTCTCCCTCAGTTCCCCTTCTACTATGGGTTCTTCCAATGAGGGTACAGACGTCGCCGATCACGGCAGGCGCCTGGTTAGATGCGTGTACGACAAACAATGGTTTCATATGCACAGATTCCTGGTGTTCAAATCGAACAATTTACGGGACGGTGGCGCGGAGAGTCGCCGGTACGGAGTTGTTGGGATTTTCATTATTATTTTTATTTGCTCGGGCTGATACCTTCCGTGTCATAGCCTGTCACTCGGACTGAAGCTGTGATGGGGGGACGCGCTGAGAACTAGAACTGGTTTCCTTGCTAACCGAGCGCGCTCCACGGGGGTGGGGGATTGGGGTATATGCCCTACACGCCAAATTTCCGTGTGACTATCCCGGACCCCGAGTGTTTTCGCGCGAGGTTTTCATACATGGTGTTTAGGCATAGCGTTCTCTCTTGGTAGATCTGGTTTCTCTCAGAACTTCGGCAGAGCAGCATGCTCTATCACTCGAAATTACATCTGTCGGCACCTTGAAATCCAGAAAAAGCTTCCTAGTGAGAAAGAGAAGTTATGGCCTGATCTGGGTTGATCCCCCCTCAATATCCTAGGATTTTGTGCGCGAAAGCGGTAAAAATGCTTTGATACCTCCTTCCTCAACTCACATTCGAGTGAAATCGCGTGAAGCTGGTAGCTAGAGCAAGTTATCAACCACAAAGGAAAACGGCTCGTTGATACCCATCTCGATGAAAATATAAGATTGATTCACGTCACTGAAATCTAGAGAGCCTGGTGAACTTTGAGACTAATCCAGACGAATATAAGCGCTCAGGGCTTGCCTAACCCCACCTTCCCCCGCCCCATCTTACCCTCCCCCCATCTATAAGGTGACATTTGAGCGCTACCACTTCTCTTCAGGATTCCCCTTAAACTCCAAATAATCCTCCAATTTGAAGAACGAAATCTCTGTCTCATGTTCTACGTCCCCCCCACGATCAGCAATCCAAAGCCCGCTGCTGCAGCACCCCCACCACACAAACAAGCATAGACACTAGAACAGCAAAGCAAACTCACCACACCCATACCCCTCCAATGCCCTCCCATCATCCCCAAAAATTAACTCGTCCCCCTCGTCCTCCATATTGATGATCAAGTTATTGGTCTTTGTCCCATGCGCTTTGGTATACAACTTTAACGTATCTGTCCCTCCCTCCCCCACATTAGCCCCCTCCCATCTGCGCCCACTGTGATATGGCAAACCAAGAGTCCCAACCACCCCCTTATAAGCTTTCCACCCACCACCGCCACCACTAGTGGAAGACAAGATCTCGCTGCGCACACGCTCTTTCAAGTCGCCGGAGGTGAGGGTTGTCAAGTCGAGGTTATGCAGAACAAGGTTTTTCGCCGTGCGGTAGGGAAAGTTTTTGATTACGCGGATAGTGAGGGTTGCGGAGGTTACTGTAGGTGGAAGTTTTTTTTGGGTGTTAGCGTTTAAAAGGAGGGGAGGGGGGGGGGGGGCGTACGCGGACGGGTTAGGAGGTCGGAGGACATTTTTTAGCTTGGGTTGTGGCGGGGGCTGATAGGGGATGTATTTCAAGGAGAGGAATGGTGGGATGATAGCCTAATGGAGAGGTTGAGAAGGCGGGGTCAACTTTCCTTCCCGCGGGGCGGAGAGCTTTTGTTTTCCCTACTATAGAGGTCTGTTATGGTCTCGCGCATACGGTATGATGCCGAGAGCAACCAATTCGGGCTAGTAGACCTACCTTCTAAAGCTCCACAAACCGCAATCAATTCGATTCAATGCGGCTAAAACACTAATCTCACCTTCTGATCCCACAAGAGCGCAGCAGGAAAAAATGACCACCGCAAAGAAGAGTCCAACCTGCCCTCTCCGACTATCTAGGCACTGATATTTCCCTGTGATGCCGAAACCTGCCTCGGAGTTCGATCAGTGTTGCCATTGCGATCTTTCCGATGGTACGAATATGATATAATAAATTACAAAGTCAAAAGGGAACAAGCGAGAAGTCACCTCCTTATATACGGGTGAGTAGACTTCCCCCCATAGGCCACCTAAGCTAGTAAACAAACACCAAGGTAGCAAACAGGCACGACATGTTCCTCCTTTTTGTACGCACCACGCAATCACCATTTTCCAGCTAAGGAGAGAAATTCCTTCATGAACTATTATTCGCATCCGCACGAAAATCATAATCAATCTTTGTGAGTAGAAATACCAACTAAGCCAAGTCAGGTCCTAAATTATCCCTCGCAGTGCTCGTACATACCGTTGCAGTCCCGTCAGCCGTACAAGCAGAGTACGGTAACGGTACTGTACGTGTATCCTGGCTGGTGGTATTTCTTCCGCTTTTCGTCTCTTGTCGTTCCCGTCTCGGGTGTTGCCGTGGGCAACCTCTCTCTCCATCGAATGGCCGATGCGACAAAGAAAACAAAACGTCCAGGATGGAAAATACCGGCAGGGTAGGGCACACTCTGTACCGTTACTCGAGTAAGCGCAAAAAAGGAATAAATTTAAAGGATGTCATGATAATAATCATTGTTATCATGTTCCTTTTTTTTCTTCTTTTTTTTTTCTTTCTAATTACCCACCTTTAGCCGGTTGCTTGTATTGTCAGTTACACGTTCTGTACGAGTGCTCGAGTATTGCCCCGGCAACTAGACTAGACTATCATACAACCCACCTGCCAAGTCTGCTAGTTTATCATGCTTCAGGTAAGGCACAGACGGACGGACAAACGGGCAAAAACCAACCCACCTTCCTTCCTTCCTTCAACAGGGACAGGGGTTATTATGCAAAGGAAGAGAGAAAATGGCTATTTTCGTATCGGGCTCAAGCTATTGCAGTAAGTTGAGCCTCCTTTTTTTCTTTCTTTTTCCCTGGGGGATTCTAGGTTCTCGGCGTAACGTTAGCGTGTTTGCGGGGTTGTGATGGATGCTTGAAAGGATTTCGATTCTACCCGAGCTGATTGGACAGATTAATTCTCCTATTACGGTACTGCATGATGGGCTGTGGATACTCGTGTAGAGAGGGGATTGATAACCGCAGGTGGATTCGTTCAGCTACCGTTTCAGAAGTAAGGTTCAGCTAGGGGGGGTCTTTTTCTCTCTCCGAGCAAGTAGGTAGATGTGATAGAGTTTGCGTCGGTACTGGTTGCTCACTCATTCGCCCGTTCGGTCACCGTCTCGTTCACCCGGCAATGAGTTGAATTGGTTGGCGGTACCGGTATTTGGGCGGGAATGATTTTTTTTTTGGCTCAAACTTTTTTCGACGGAGGTATGGTAACTTAACGGTGTGTACCGTACTGTACGAGTACCCTACAAGTTGCGTTGCGGTACCGTAGGGTACATACTTGTGCAAGCGCCAATGTGCAGCTCGTTGCCAATGGAAAGATCGGATATTGTGATTTTCGAGATGCAATTGAACGGAATGGGATTCTATATCTGGTTCCGGAGATGGGCAAACGATTTAAGGGGGAGGTGTTTTCTCTCGCTCCGTGGTCTTTCCCCCCCCTTCTCTTCTTCTTTCCGAGTGATGAGTTTGTATGTGCGGTAATGGTAGGCATCATACAGTAGCTGCGGGCTGTTAAGAGGAAGATTGCTGTTAAAAATTTGGTACTTTGTGTACGTTGAGTCACTCATATCCGGTGGAGGCAGGAAGGGTTACTTTGAGTTTCCTGTCATACGCTTTTGAGTTGCTGCCATTGAGATTATTACGACTTGCATACAATTTAATGCTGGGAGGGTTGATATTGCATTCGAATGTCAATCGCCTCATCCAATTTCCGCAGGAAGCAAGGTGGTGAGGTTTGCATCACCATGGGCAGTACTGACCACTGAGTACGGCGTGCAACAGTA